ACACTGTATATCTGTTTTATAAATTATAACACAATGAGGCTATTTTTGATACATATTCATAGATTTCGTCGAGACATCGAATTGTGGCCGTAATATTTTTCAAAGTACATATTACATACAAATGCATCAAGCGAAATAAATCGCATTAAAAGAACAGAATGTGATCTATTTTTGGGTTTTAAAAGTCCAACGTCCAATAAGGCGTATTCTTTTAACGGAAATAACGAAATCATATATAGTGCCGATAATATATCATTCAGATGCTCTAACCTTCTGGTCCTCATTAAATTTTGATACGTATCATATGTATACGTTCACGAACACGTATAGAATACGCACATATGTTCGCCAATATATGTGATACACTCCATATTTCTTAGATCCGGTAGCGATTGAGAATCACAAATGGATAGCACGTCTTCAACATACGGAATTATTTCAATTTCCGGAAAATATTTCCCATCCTCTCCTTCGCAATAAACGATTTTTCGTGCCAGGTACTACAAAATTAAATACACAGGTGCGTTATTCTAAGCATTATCTACAAATTCAAATATTATTTAAAATAAGAAGAACGTGCAATAAAAATTAATTTTCTTTTCTAGAAATCAATATATCAAGCTTGTATTGCGCCAGGTAATCGAAAAGGTCATTGCAAGCATTTTAGTGGATGCATTCTATCAAAGGAGTTCCTCAAAAGTTCAAACGCTGGGCGATTTATGGATTATATGTGCATAATTGAGCAAACGTAAGCTAACATTGTATTTTACGCATCAATAATTTCATTATTATGTATTTTCCTCATTGCAGATACATAGGTATGTGCTGTCCTGATGATGTCATGACAGCTCGATCGGAAAATACGTTTGACGATGATTTAGCCAACAAGTTGCCAGCGATAGCGAGTTTGTATAAATTTTAATTATTTATTTGAAAATAATATAATTTCTTTTAATTATATTATTAATTAAACTGTGTAGATATCATAAAATTATTTTTTATAATAACAAAAAATGTTATAATAATGAAAATTAAATCTGTTTAATCGTTATAATTGTACGATATTTTTATTTATTTATGTAAGACTTGCGATGAATACACGTTTTTACAACTTAATGCACCTCGATAAAAGTGTTTTACACGTGCACTTTCATGACAAACGATATCTATCAATGTCTATCGCGATACGTGGTATCAGTGTCCGTTTAACGAAGAATACGTATGTGTATACGTACTTCAAATTCTTTTCTCGCAGGTCTCGATGACGACGAGGAAGAGTGGGATGAAACTCAAGGAAATGAGGACGAGGATGGGTTACCTGCCAACAAGACAATGCACAGCGATGCGAATTTGCGAAAAGACGAGATATCGGTCAAGCAAGAGACAAGAAAGTCACGAAAACCCAGAGGGTGCGGCACAACCACAAGAATGAAAACCAGAATCACGGGAGACCAATCGGCTGACACTAAAGAGTGGCCATGGATGGCGGCTCTTCTCCTAACCAGACAAGAAGCGACTCAGTATTGCGGGGGTGTATTAATCACTGATAGACACATACTTACAGCCGCACACTGCGTTTATAGGTAAACTATCATATAAATATTCATTAAGGTTTTTTAATGGTCTTTATGAAATAAAAAACGGATTCTCAACTTTTCGTCGGTACAATGTGAAAGTTTTATTCTTGCTAAGCCTTCAAACTTCTATTTTCATATTATTCCGGATTGTATAAAAATTTGAAAAAATTGTAAAAGCTTTAACAAGTTTTTATTATCATAAAAGTAAGATTGTATTTTATTTTATAGATTTAAATTTATTTATCAAAAATCATAATTAAAAAAACTCGACTATATTGCCTTTAAAGTCCAATATTCGACAGAGGATTATCTCAATATTAAATGCTAATTAATAATAAATAGTTCCAAATTATTTTTTTATTACAAGATATCGAGAAAAAATTCTTCATTATTTCCATCATAATTTTTTCATATATGTTTGTAAATCAGCAAAACTAAATTCGTGTTGCATTCTATAAGCTTAAATAGTGCAGAGAATTGATTGCGACTATATTAAAAAAAAAGAATTGTGTCAAGTGGTTGCAATAAAGAAAGAAATATAATATTCACTTCAGGATAGATGCGTATATCCTCCCGTATCTCAAAGTTTATGAGCAAAGATTACGATCTGGTCGGTATTTCAGACGTAACACATTTATATTCTTGCAGCCACGGTTGACGATAATCGTGCTTAGACTTTGTACTATTTTGGCGCGCTGACACATTTTCTTGTTATTTTCTTCAGACACATTATTATTAATGTGCGATATATACTCGCTTTTCTGTAAACGTAAAATAAACAGTTAGGATGCATAAGAATAAGTTACAGTTATCCTTCGTTGCGTTGTCACATCTTTATAGGTACGATCCGCACTACATTACGGTGAGACTCGGCGAATATGATTTCACTAAGGTTGAGGAGACGCGAGCATTAGATTTTATGGTGTCGGAGATACGAATACACAGGGACTTCAAATTGAATACATACGAGAACGACATTGCTATCATTAAAATCCATCGACCCACCGTGTTTAACAGCTATATTTGGCCCATCTGCCTCCCGCCTGTTCAGCAATCGTTCGAGAATAAAGACGCTATCGTTACGGGTCAGTACAAATAGATGCAATAGATATGTATTTTTAAGCCGAAAATTAATAATAAAATGATTTGATTGTTAATTTTTTTTAAGTCTATCATTTGTACATCTGTAGATGTTTTTTAATAGCCAAAAATTGATGAAAAAACATATTACACATTTTATACAAAATTTCAATATATTTAATTTTTCAATGTTTAGTAAGCAAAATTTATCATTAGATATTATCTGTTATTATTAAAAATATTATTTTAAATAAAGTGATAAAAATAAGTCTGAAACAATTATTCATCAACTAAAAGTATAAATATATTAATTCTGCATTGAGCGATGCAACTATGTTGTTTAAACTCATCAACTATTGTAACTCATGATATGTTATATTTATATATTATATTGTCGAGTACGAAATATAACATTGATGTTACGTTACTTTTAATAGTGTCTACTGAATAGTTAGTCTATTTCTGCAACGACGGAATGGGCGAAAGAAATTAAAAGATACAAATTGTTTCTATAATCTGAAAATTGTAAACATTTTATTAGGTTGGGGCACACAATACTATGGAGGACCTGCTAGCACAGTGCTGCTGGAAACCACGGTACCGGTATGGCCCCAAGAAAAATGCGTTCGCAGCTTCACGCAATTGATTCCGAACACTACTCTATGCGCCGGTGCTTACGAGGGGGGTCATGACGCTTGTCAAGTAAGATAATAATTTATTTATTTATTCCAGAAAAGTGTCGAACACGATGTGATGTCGCGGTGATGTGATGAAATGCTAAGTGCGCATGAATTAGCTAGAAAGACTGCATTTCTAATGAATGCCATCTTTCTGGCTGAAATCCGTTAATATTTTAAGAAATGTTCGAAAGAAGGACAGATCAACTTTAATTGTATTAAGATCCGATGATTCATCTCTTCTTTCAGGGTGACTCGGGTGGTCCGTTGTTGCATCAACTCGCCAATGGTAGGTGGGTCAACATCGGGATAGTATCCTGGGGAATTCGCTGTGGTGATCCCGGATATCCGGGGATATATACCCGCGTGAACTCTTACCTCGATTGGATATTTGCGAACGCCGTGTTTTGAGAGTCACGTAGCCGTTCTCACGTGCCAAAGATTTTTCTACTTTTATACATTTAGAACGTTTTGCACTTACGTAAGACATGCATTCCACTGATGAAATGATCCTTCCGACTTTGATCAGCGATGCGACACATGGAAACGAGTTCATTAATAATGATCACTCGATCGGACGCCCGAAGTAATTGTTAGGCAGTCTTGAAAACGACTAAACTTTATTTTCGGAATATTCATTGGTACATCGTTGAAAGAGAGATTGACACAGATAGAATTTCACTCTTCACGATGCGTCACATCCCTCCTGCCGCCATACCATCGTTTATAACAGAGCTACTGCGGAGTATCAGCCACCTGCACCGTTCATCCATACATTAAACACGGGTATGCAATTGCGACCGCACGTGCACATATCTGTCTTGTATATGCATGTATATGTGTGTGAATACGCGCATGTATATATGTGTATATGTGGACATTCGCAGATATATGCACTCGCAATCGGTATTAATTTCTCAGACACGTCACAGACTTCTTTCGCGAGAGGCCCAGCCTCTGTTCGCCACAACTGGTTCTAAACATTGACGTTAGCTACGGTAACTTTTCTTTTGCAGCCATATACATATTTATATAT